TGGTACAATTATTAATATATCATTGTTTTCAATAATCCGTAGATGCCCTTTAAGTCGGCCTCCGCTCCTTATCCAGAATTTTGGCTTCGCAAAATTCGCTCTATGTTTGCCATGTTTGACCATGATCAAGATGGCGTCATCCACAGAGAGGACATTGTCAACTGGTGTGTACAGAACGCTAAAGGTCGCCTTAATCAAGTTCAGATGGAGGTTTTCCAGGAACTGATGGACGAAGCTTGGGAATACTACTGGGCTGGAGAAGAAAAGAGAACCGAAGTCACTCTTAACGACATTGCAGACAGCGTGAACCGCACTTACCAGGCTCCGGGCTTCAAGGCTTTGCAAGACAAGTGGTTAGGTACCTGTTTTGATAAAGTGGCAGATATCGACGGTGACGGCTATTTGACTTTAGAAGAATTTACGACTTTTCTTGGATTGTTTGGCGTACACCCATTGAGCGTTCCTGCGTGTTTCGAAGCTCTGAAGACCAACAAAGATGCCCTCATCAGCAGAGAACAGTTCGTGCAAAAGGGGAAAGAATTTGCTTATATTACAGTAGATTCTCCAGCAAAAATGTTCTGGGGACCTTTTATTGCTTAGAAACTCGAGTCAAAATTTAAACCTTTTCAATCTGAACTGTAATATTTTACATTATTGAGACGGTCAGGGGTTTGGTATTAAGCAGTCATCCAGGCAGACTGGTTTTGGTTTTTCATAGCCCTTGTTCAAAATGGATCATTTGAAAGCTACAGTTTACTGACGTGAACAATCTCAATCCTACCACAAGAATGTGGCATGTTTTGCGTTGTTAAAAAAGGCACTTCTTTTAACTTGAAAAGCACAGTGTTACCAATATGGTTTATTGTATTAAGAATTTACAAAAACGGATGTCCTTTATATGATGTGCACAGTGTCTGTACGCATTCTGATCTGAACTATATTGATAACTATATAATTTCTATGAATGAATGTATAATGAATAATGGGGAGATCTAGGATTTTGAGAAAATTGCACATGATAAACAGATTGCCATTCTCAATTTAAGTAGTTTTAATACAAGCCTTCCCACGGCTAAAATGAACCACAAATATAATTAAATACGGTGGGAGGTATACTCATGCCTTCTTTCATACCTCTTTAGAAACTTAACTTCCATCTGGCCAATTGTTGTGAAATAATTAATAATGGATAATCTAACTGTTTCAATAATAATTATACCAAAATACTGAAACAAACAAAATGACTGCAACTCACAAGCATACTCGTCTTACTTACTATTACTCGTTCAAGCAATATATATATGTTTTGCAAATTAGCCATATTGTCACAAAAACATATCATTTGGCACCAAACACAAAACTTAATACAGTTGAAATATATACATATTTAACGTACTAAATGAAGATTTCATTTCCAGGTATACAACATGTAAATACTCCCTTACACATGACTGCATATTTGAAACAATACACACACAATGAAATATGAATCATTTGAAATATATTTTTTTAACTTTCTCCATTCTGTTGCACAGATATGTATACATACTCTAATCTTTAAAATTAAGATACAGTTACTATCACATTGTTATGGACTGCCCTATAATCTCAGGATATATTATAGAGTACTGATATCATTGTGTACGTTAAATATCTTATTTCCTTTGTCAGCGTACCAGGCACTAATGACAACAGATTCAGATTTTCTTTACATATAATCTCAGCATAATATGTTTATCTAAAATAACTCCAATTTTAATTATTACATATTATCACAATATTGAATGACAGCTAAAAGGGTAACAATATGGACAATAAATATCAATACATGACAGTGAAACGCATGTAAATATGTGATATCTCATGCTTACAGATATGTATATAATGTAAAAACAATGCTGCCGGTACAAAGTCTCATTGTCATTCTGTTGAGTAAACATGTCCTTTTCAAGGCCGATTTTATATACTATGCTGTAGTATACTTAATCAAATGAATAAACAGTAAACTTAACCACATATTAGAAACATAAAGTACACACCTTACCTTTGCATGGTGTTTTGATTGACAATTAAAAAATAAATAGCGTCTGTCACTAGACTAAGGTGAAATGTCTGTGGTAATATTACTGACTGCATTTATTTTTTATAATAAGTGAAGTAAAAATATAGAAAATAACTATATCTTCTGAAACATTTATTCAGATAAAACCCTGTTATCCTGAACCTTCTTGTCACATTTTAACATAACAGCAGTTCAGAAAGTAGGAAAGAAATGTAAAATGGCCCACTAGTCATGCATATACAACTGTCATTGTTGGTCTCGCTGTAAACAGTACATAATGCACATTCTTATTTACTGACTGGATAAACAATTAGTCTAAGATTTGAATCCAACTTAAGAGACTAGAATTTCAACATAAGTACAATAAAAATTTTTGACAGTGGGCACTCTTTCCCCCATCAATTAGAATAGTATATAACTTGAAACTGGTATTAAAAATACAACTGCATAACATATCTTACTAAAATTACAACCTTCCCTTTTTCTTCTTTTTACACAGAAGTTTCAAATACATATGACTCTCCAACTTTAATAGCACTATATGAAACATTGGAGGAGGGATAAGACAGAGAACTTTCTTTTCCATAACCCTGGTCAATAGTGTCATGTCCATTTTGTGAGTGGTGAGTTCTAGAGGCCATGTGGTTTGTTTTTGTGTAGGTGTTTAATAGCGTATCCCCAGCACTGCTAAGGTACCTTGCATTCTTCCATTTATTGCTAGCCGCTGCGTCAAAACTTTCATCATCATTTTCAGCCGTAAGTATTCTATCATCACTGACCAGTGAGATGAGACTGTCTATTTCATCATCTCTGATATTATCATTTGGCACTTGATGATGCTCCCTCTCACTGACAGTCTTCATCCATTCCATAATCGCATGTAATCCATGATCAGATCCACCAGTATGTGTTGCCAAGGGGTGTATATGCTTAAGAGCATCCAATCCATTTGTCTGCACAATAGATGGCACCACCGTCTGACCTGATACATAAGTCTGGCCAGGGTGTTCAAAACCATTTCTACCAATATTGGTGTCTGGTGTAGAGCTCCTAAGTGGCATATTTATTTTATTTGAGACGTTCAAAGTAGGGCTTATCTCTCCTTTCACAGAATCATTAGTTTTTTCTCTTGATATTTCAACAAAGTTTCTAGCATTACTTGTATCACTCCATCTTGAATTTTCCCTGAATTCAACTTCCCTATCCAGTGACTTAGCTCTAATAGTGCTGCCATCTACAGGTTCTCTTCTGCCCTCTCCAATACCATTCCCAAGATTCACTGCAGATAAAACATTTTCAGTATCATCTTTTTGATTATAGTTTCTAAGTATATCACCTAATACTTCATCACGTCTTTGTATTCTTAAAACATCTGCTGCTGTTCCTGCTAAATCTAGCAAGCTATCACTACGGATACACTGGGAGTTCAGCCAATCCAAGGCCTTCTTCTTAATAAAAGTCCACTCTGAATGTTGTCCTGCATTCCTTTGCAGCCAAACCACAGCCAGGACTGTAGCCCATACACTCTGACTCTGAAATACCATAAAACATAGCTAATTGTGAATTACTGCTATTTCATTATTTTATCATTTTTCTGAAAATAATAAACTCGATTAAGCTTAAAATGGAATACACCTTATAAATTGTTGATGGGATTCTGATTTCAAATGAAGGAGTATAATTCAGAGATAGAAACTATTAACAAGATGTCAAATCAACAGTTTTACGTCTTTTGTGAAATGCGACCATACACAGAACTGCCCTCTCAAATAACCATTTTACTTGGCAGTGTCACACCTACCACAAAGCACTACCCTTAGATACAATAAAGTTAGCATTTTTCTACAAATAACTATTAATTTCATCAGAGTTAAGAATCTGTGAAAATCAAACTTTGCCAATGTTAATTACACTCTGCCAAAATGACAATCGCTGATGTGAATTCTACTACTAATGACAAAAGACACTTTGCAAGAAAATGCATTTGCTCCACCTCATCCTGCATCACCTCGCCCAAAACAACGCAATCTACATCTCACCTGATGCAATACAAACTCCTATACATATTAACCATTCAAACTCATACTTACAGGACAGGGGCACCTGGCAATCATCCTCTCCACTGATGTATCTAAGATCTCTGCCAGGGCAGCATCTAGGTACCATGAGCCATCAAATCCCTGGCACTCTGCCAGAAGATATTCTTTTTTCAGGACAGGGGTGGTGGGGGACTCTGGAATACCCTCCAGTAGGAACTCTTTGCTGGCAGATGGGGACTGGGGGCTTCCTAAGAGACACAGGAATGGGTGCACTTTATAGATTTAAGATAATCTTTTCAATCATTTCAAAATAATTTAATACATTTTTATTTACTGTTATTCATAATTTTGTTTTGATTGTTTCATGCATGATCAACAAAATGTTCTTTAAAATATCATTTTGAATATATATTATTCATAAGATTTCATAGGATTTAGTATCAAAACCATCCCAAAATTCTACCATACAAAAAGTGAGTAATCCTGAGGCAATCCTTACCCTGGGTGTCATTAGACATGAAGGAGTCGTCCAGAGTGCCACTGGTATTGATCAAATTTACAGACGCTAAAGACACGCTCATCTCATCTCCAAACTCTGCCAAGGGTGCAGATTTGGGCCGCTTTGGTCGATAGCGGACATGTCGACTGGGGGCATCTCCTGGACTCCTCCAAAAGTCATCACTCATTGATGGAGATTTGTTTAAACCTGAAGTAAATAGGGAATGTGAGCATAAACCAACAGAGGAACTGTGTTAAATAAATAAAATAAATAAATTTATTTATTAATAGAAGTATTCATTACTGTTTACAAATATCATTCAATCACAAAGCCATGAAAATTAAGGAGGGAGAGAGAGAGAGAGAGAGAGAAAGAGAATATGACCCTGCCAAAAACCAATAATTACAGTTGAAAGACACCTATCACAACAGGTTCTGTACAATTTGCATTTAACAGTATCATTTTATATTTTAAGTGATCTTAAGGTAAATTTACATTATTTTAGTCTTGCAGCAATACATTAGACTGGGCTACAATACTTTGTGTGCACTGCTCAGTTTAAGAGAAGCATTAATCATACATGCACTCATGCTATTATGTCTGAAGATTTACATCATGCATATTTTTGCATATGCACCTTCTATTTCAATACACTTAAGTCAACTGGCAGCAGTTTATGTTAATTTCGCACAAACAGCTACACGAAAATATCTTTTTCCAATCACACAAACTAGGAAAAACCTCAATTCTGATCAAATAAAAAATAAATACAATATTTTACTCAAAATAACCAGTAAACAACCTTAAAAACCTCTGATAATATTATGTTTCACGACAACAAAAAAAAAAAAAAAAACATTAAGTACAACCATGAATCAGGACAAGCATTCTGAAATGGAATCACACAAAATGATATTTCACAAACATTTCACTGCATCAAAAGCATGGCATAATTTTCTTCTAAGCCACAAGTACTCACGTATTTTGACTATATGGGGCACTGCTGCATTAGAGAAACAAAAGAGAAATATTTTAAATTACTGTAAAATGTACAGTTTTAACTCATTGCTTACGAAGCATGACTGCCAAACTCTGATGCATTTTTCCACCCACTCACCAAATTCTATGTGACATCTAATAATTTTGGTTTTGACTGTATTTGCTTTTACATTTACCTCAAAACAGGATCTTCTTCTATATCATAGACCGAGAGTAATGGGACCCACAGGCTAAACAGCATACGTACATTGCTACATATAATTTAAGTGAGCTGCAAGCATACATTTACACACATGCAAACACGTGGATATGCACACATCATATTGACCTTGTTACGATGACATATCCGTACACTTAGAAAGCAGGTTCAAACAAGGCTTAAAACAAGGGTGGCACTGGACTTACACATCAATGCTTTCATTTTTAAGAAAAATCAAAACATAAATCATTCAGATAAAAACAAATGATAGAACACAAAATCAACATTTTTGCTCTTCCTGAAAAAATTTCATTTTAAACTACTAACTTACACCTGATAGAGTT